TATACATTGCAAAACAATACTTTAGGCAGTCACCAGTATTTATATTCCACACTGTGCAGACTTGCTCCAAACAGGTCTGGGCAATAGCTGGGAGTGTTCCTCCCTGCCAACATCTCGAGCCTACACCTGGTTCTCACAGGAGTCCATCTCCAGCAGAACTGAAGAGATGGAAACCTGCAGTCAAGAAGTTCAGCAGGCTAGACCAACAAAACTGCTGCCCAATCCAACCCATGATGAAAAGCTGAGGGATGCTTAGAATAATTTAGCAGACATTTAAGTGGGCATTTGAAAGCCATATTCAGGCATTATGCAGCTCAGAACATTAGAAAATGGACCATGCTAAAGTCCACGTAAGATGGAACTTTTTCAAGTTCAGCTGAAGCTGAACATGTGTGAACACAATTTTGCAAAGAAACAGGAAAGCATCAAACTCCAACCATTTGGTTCCCACCAACCTTGTTCTTGTAAGCCCTGCTCACACAAGACTGCAGCTCACCTTTCAGCACTCAGCAAACTGCCAACACAACAAACAAAAACCATTAAATCCATCAACAATCTGATGTCTGTTGGCTGGCAAGTCCTGTTATTTACAGGACTTCATTCAAGTGGCCTGGCCAGAAGTCACCTTTCCTGCAGGATCCCCAAGAGGTACCAGGGCCTGGAGAGGACAAACATACCGTGACTTGGGATGAACTGCAAGAGTGACAAGGCATAAGGAAGGAGCATAGTCAGGGCAAATCCTGTACACACAGGACCTTCACGGCAGAGTCCAGACTCCAACAAGATGAGAACATGAAGCCTCTGGACAGATGACTACTTCTCAGGACCCCAGTTAGATCAGCAGTTTGCAGTCCTTTCCAAACACTCGCTCCAACATGCCAGTCACATATTTTACAGAAATCTAGACTTCTATCTTGCTAACAACTTTATTGTACGTTATTCTGGCAGGTAACCAAACCAAGATTGGCTCCTGTCAGCTCAGATGAGCTAGGTTTTATCCTCTGAGATTCCAAAGATCCACATTCTGCAGCAAAGTCTTCCCTTCCTCCTGGGGCTGCTATCAGGCTGAAGTGACTTTACTTCTTCTGCAATAACAGTACGAAGACAAGCACTGATCAGAGGTCAACAACAGCACTCTGAATCCTCTCCCCCACTCCCTGTTTAGAATAAAGGTCAGTAGGTCTCCTTCCACTCCTGCACCTGTATCCTGTCCTCCCCATCAGAGCCAACAGCTCAGCCAGCCTTTTCCAGCAGCTGCCCAGCGCTCCACTTGAAACCCAGCACATCCGTTCAAAGCTGTAAACCTTCACTTAGTTTTCAAACTGAAGTCACTCCCCTATTGCTTTATCTGAACTGTGACACCACTTGCAGAGGCCTCAAAACAATCACAGGAGTAGATGAACAGTCCCGAAGGGCATCTTTACATCTGGAGGACAAGAGCTCAAACTCCCTGCCCACACAGACAGCCTGGTCCCCAGGATGAGCATGGCTGGGGCTCTGCCCTCCACCTGCAGATCTTGATCGTGTCCCATCACACACAACCCCGTGTTCACCTTCACAGCCCTGGGTGAATGACAGCTCTCCCACCACAGCAGGTCTAGTTGCACGAGAGAGCTGGGAACCCATTTTTTTTATTCTGATACAGGAACAGCATTTCTCTCTCTCCCTCATCAGCTCAAAATCCAGCTCCAACCCCCAAACAAACAGCTGCTTCACATATTTGAAGTGTCTGCAAGGAACAATAAAGCTGTTTTTCCTGAAAGGCCTTGAAGACCATCAGGCCACAGCAAAGTCACAACTGTAACTCAGTCCTGCAGCCACGCAGCTGAGAGCAGGGGGCTGGAGCTCCCTCCATGGAGAACACAGCAGCACTGGAACCCACTCCCACCCTGTCACAGCCACCCTCCCACTCCAAAAAGCCACAGAGGATGTGAACCAGAGGATGTGGACTGAGTCGGCTCCATTTTGCTGGCATCTCTACCACTGTCAGGCAATCAGTGGCCTGACAAGGGGACTGAAAAGGGAGGCTGAATTTCCACATTTGAAGAAAAACACAATTTGCATCTCACAGAACAATCAGTCTGTCACAACTGCCTCTTTCCCTCCTAATAAATCATTAGCCCTGACTGTAAGCACAGACACCTGCCAATCTGAAGGAACACAGGCTGTGCTAGACCTGCTGTTTATCTCACCCAGATTCTTGCTGGGCATCAGCAAGCAGATGAAGTTTTCCAAGTCATCAAAGTCTCACTAAACAACACTTTCTTGAGCCTGGAGCTTAAAGACCTTTCAGCAAATCCAAGGCAAGGTATGGAAAGGAAGATGCTTGGCAGGAGATGGGCATATCCAGCAGGTCTGCCTGGAGAGAAACACCCTAAAAGACCTGGGTAGCCGCTCACTGAAACCAGCATCAGATTGGATTTTGATATCCACAAAAGAGAAAGGGACATTGGTTTTACCAAAGAACTGCAACTTCCAGCTCACAGGAAATGTCTGCTTCTGCCCAATTCAGGCAAAAATCAAGTTTCTGAAAACCCCAACATCACTACAAGACAGACCTTGTTTTTGGCCAGTTGCCTTGGTGACACACAGCAATCTCTTGGGAAGAAACCAAGGAATGCATCCTAATACTAGCTCTTTCCTTTTCAGGCATCAACACGCAGCCTATTACCCAGAGTAAAAGCCACAAACATCCTCTAGGTTAAGAGTAAACAGAAATCTTTCCATCTGCTACAGCATCAGCATCTTCCAAACCCTGGCTACAAAGTCAAACTCCATGCTTGCTACCCCTAGCAGGAAGGGAACTGAAACAAAACCTTGTGTTTCTCCCACTACATTGACACATTTAATTTCATCCTGAAACTCAGGTTTCTACTACTTCTCCTTCAGCTGGATCTTATTTTCCAAAGGGTCCCCCCATTTGTTTCAGCCTCCTGATTTCTGCCATGTAACAGGCAGTTCCTCCTTTGTCTTTTAATACCTCTCTTCTCATAAACTAGATCTTTATGCAAATTCTCATGCAGAGCATCCCCCATGTATAATTCTTAGCAAACACTGTATTGCAAGGTGTATATGCACCTTGCAGTATTTAGCACACTTCAGAGTGCTTGCAGAGCGGGACAGTGAATGCTATTAAGCTGATTAAGAACATAGGTGAAGAAGCTACATGACCTGCCCAATGCCACAACAATCCACCACTGAACAGACAAAACAGTTGCTAACCAGTTTCAAAGAATCACATTATATCACATGAGGTCGGGAAAGGATCTCTGGAGGGCTCCAGCCCAAACTCTTGCTCCAAGCAGGTCTGACCTGAGCAGTTGCTCAAGGCTCTCCCCTGGCAAGTCTCAAATAGCTCCAAGGACAGAGATGCCACTACTCCTCTGCACTCCTGTTCCAGGGCTTGACCAATGTTAAACAATTCAGCCACTGCGCTAGCCTTGTCCTCATCTCCCTCCCTCCTTTTTGTAATGTTAAGGATGGCTTCTGCTGTGCACCATTTAATTGGTTTTGCATACTTGAGGCTTTTATTCTTTTACCAGCAAGTCTGCTGTCCCAACAGCACCACCCTGCACAGAGAAACCGGCTTCTCTGGCTGCATCAGAGGTGGGCTTATCTAGAGTGTGTGTCCCACAAGGTTTCCCTCTGTATTTCCTGCTCCGTCCTAGAAGTACCCAGGTTGTCTTGATATTTTCATCATTTGTACCACACACCTGATTTGGTGTAAATCCAATTAATAACCCAAACTGAACTGAGCAGAGTCAAGGAAACAGCTGGAATTAGTGCAAGCCAGCAGGTATTTAAGCAACAGAACAATTCCAGTCTGTTCAAGCATTTCCCTGTAGGAGGACAAGGAAAAACTGCAGGAGCACTGAGCGAGAATCAATACTCCTGCTTATTTGCTTATTCTGGATCTCATGGCGCTCATGCTCCAGATCTACTACCTGCGTTAGTCATGATCAAATTAATACAGACTGTGTGCTCTCATGAAGTAATTTAACAATGTTACGCCACGAGAAACAGCACTTCCTGCCTGCCTTTTAAATGAGATGCACCCTTTTCAAAGGATTTCCTCAAATTATAATGCTCAGTGCCTCAGGCATCCATGTGGATTCAGTCCATCAGATATTCAGTCGAATTTAGGTAACGGAATGTCAAACAACTCTTCCCGCTATGGAAAAACATGTCACGTCACAGACCTAGAAGTCGGGATTTGTCACCTCAGCAGGCTGCTTTCAGAGCCAAGCAATTCACGCCTCCTCCTCCGGTGCAGCAAAATAACCTGCTCTTTCAGGATGTGTCTTTATCACATCCAGATGCATTTCACCAAGCCATACAAAGATTAATGCTCAATTAAGGTTCACAAGGATCCCAAGCAGTGAGATAACCTGGCATTCACTCCAGACACTTGGAGCAATAGACATCTCTCAGATCATGAGAGGTGTAGCTGCACATCCAGAATGAGGAGCCAGGTGGTATAATCCTATCAAAAGGAGTTAAATTGTTGCTGATCTCTTTCTGCCTAATAGAGACCTAATTCTTGAGCTTCTATCAATAGATCACTAATGCAGGGACAATGGCAATGCCACGCTGCCCGCTGTACCATGTCACAGGCTGGGCAGCGACCATGGGGAGCTCAGCATGTCCAACACCACCAGACACAGTGAGCAGGGCTGGAGAGGAGGCAAATCCACAGCTTTCAAACCATGGGACACCTCAAATTTTGTAAATACCTGAAATATTTTACTTTCCGTTATCATACCTCCAAGTAACAACTGTGGGAGAGGCCCTGCAGTTATCACAGGTCATATCCCACCCTCATCTACTTGGTGGAAGAGCACTCAATGCTCTGTCCCTGAGGGCAAGCCTCTGGCTCTCAAAAGGACCAGAAAAACACTGTCCATCTTCCCACCCGGTGCCTCATGGTAAAACAAGCCAAAAGTCGTACTGAGCGGCTTCCAGCCTGGCTGTTTGGCACAGAGGCGCCCCAGGCAGTTTACCTTCTTGCGGCGGGAGCCCGTCTTGCTCATGCAGGACCTCTCCAGGGACAGGTATCCCCCAATCACTTCTATCTCATTCACTGTGGGGTAGCGCTTTTTATGGGACACCCCCGCTTGGGGCCCATCAGCGTTCTCCACAGCTTTGCCTTTTCCTTTGCTCTCCTCCTCCTCCTCCTGTTCCTCCCGCTTCGGCTTTCTGCTGGCATCAGTGACAGTCTGCAGCCCTGAGGCAACAGGCTTCCTTTTGGGCACGACAGTGAAGGTGCTGCCTCCCTTCTGATGGGGGGCAGAGTGCGGTCTGTAGACGGGCACGGAGGAAAACTCCATCTCCAGTTCAGTGCCAGCCCCTCCAGGCTGATCCGCCACGCTCCCTGTCCTTGCAGCCGAGCCAGCCCTGGGAGAAAGCTCCCCACTGTCAGGCTCCACAATGTCATCGATGTAAGTCACAGGTACCGACGGATCCGGAGGCGCCGGCGGGGAAACAACAGGCTCTTCCTGCACTGGGGCGGGAGCCTTCGGGGGCTCCTTCGGTGCCTTCTCCTCCAAGGACGGTGGCGGCAGCCCCGGCTTGGCGCTGGGGGCCGGGGGCAGAGCTGGGCCGCCCTCCCGGCGGGGCACGAAGAGGAAGGAATTGCGTGAATTGAGGCGCAGCTTGGCCAGGGCCTGGGCCTGCAGGTCGTGGGCTGGGATGGCAGCCAAGTCGGGCTTGGGGGCCGGAAGAATTTCAAAGGAGCCCCCAGCCCGGGGAGCAAAGGCGGAGAGCGGCTGGGTGGAACTGGTGGCACTGGGGGCCAGACTGGCACTGGGCAGGGGCGGCACGTCTGCTTCGGCCTCCTCCGGCTTTGGCCTCCTGGCGTTGGCTCTGGCGTGGGAAGGGCTGGCGGATGGCACTGGTGGCCCCGTGGGCAGCGTGGGGCGGCCGGCGGGGACAGCGCCCGGCTCGGGGATGCGGCTGCCAGGGGGGAGACCCCGGGGGGTGACGGTGAAGGAGTTGGAGCCGATCTTGTGGAGAAAGCAGTTGGCCTGGGGGACTGTGGCCTTGGGGATGGCTGGGACAGCCTGGAGGACTGGGGACCGGGGGGGAGCTGGGAGGGGCTGTGGGGTGACAGCCCGCAGGGGAGCCGGGAGGGGCTGGGGGGTGACAGCCCGGGGGGAAGCCGGGAGGGGCTGGGGGGTGACAGCCCGGGGGGAAGCCGGGAGGGGCTGGGGGGTGACAGCCCGGGGGGGAGCCGGGAGGGGCTGGGGGGTGACAGCCCGGGGGGAAGCCGGGAGGGGCTGGGGGGTGACAGCCCGGGGGGGAGCCGGGAGGGGCTGGGGGGTGACAGCCCGGGGGGGAGCCGGGAGGGGCTGGGGGGTGACAGCCCGGGGGGGAGCTGGGAGGGGCTGGGGGGTGACAGCCCGGGGGGAAGCCGGGAGGGGCTGGGGGGTGACAGCCCGGGGGGGAGCCGGGAGGGGCTGGGGGGTGACAGCCCGGGGGGGAGCCGGGAGGGGCTGGGGGGTGACAGCCCGCGGGGGAGCCGGGAGGGGCTGGGGGGTGACAGCCCGGGGGGGAGCCGGGAGGGGCTGGGGGGTGACAGCCCGCGGGGGAGCTGGGAGGGGCTGGGGGGTTTCAGGCAGGGAGGACACAGCGCGGGGGGGAGCTGGGAGAGGCTGAGGGGCCATGGGCTGGGGGATGACAGCTTCGGGGGAAGCTGGGAGGGTCTGGGGGGTCACTGCCCCGGGGGAGGTCGGGAGGGGCTGGGGGGTTGCAGGCTGGGTGGTCACAGCCTGGGGGGGAGCCAGGAGGGGCTGAAGGGCCGTGGGCTGGGGGATGACAGCTTGGGGGGAAGCTGGGAGGGCCTGGGGGGTCTCTGCCCCGGCGGGGGTTGGGAAGGGCTGGGGGGTTGCAGGCTGGGTGGTCACAGCCTGGAGGGGAGCCAGGAGGGGCTGAAGGGCCGTGGCCTGGGGGATGACAGCTTGGGGGGAAGCTGGGAGAGGCTGGGGGGTGACAGCCCTGGGGGGAGTCGGGAGGGGCTGGGGGGCCATGGGCTGGGTGGTCACAGCCTGGGGGGGAGCTGGGGCTGCTTGAGGGGCTGTGAGCTGGAGGGTGACAGCTTGGGGGGCATCCAGGAGCGGCTGGGGGGCTGTGGGCATGGGGGTCACAGCCGGGGGGGGAGCCGGGAGAAGCTGGGGGGTCACAGCCCGGGGGGGAGCCGAGGCTGCTTGAGGGGCCGTGAGCTGGGGGATGATAGCTTGGGGGGGAGCCGGGAGCGGCTGGGGGGTGACATCCCGGGGGGGTGTCGGCAGCAGGACAGCAGGCTGGGGGGTGGCCGGCACTGCCGAGGGGACGGCAGCACGGGGGGGAGACGGCGGCGGCTGGGGGGCGGCCGGCACCGCCCGCGGAGATCCCGGTCTCGCCTTTGGGGCCGAGGCCCGGGGGGAGCCGGGTCGCCTTCGAAGGGGCGCCGAGGCCCGGGGGGAGCCGGGTGCCACCTGCGGAGGGGGCGGCCCGGCCCGGGGGGAGCCCGGCGCCGCCGGAGGAGCGGCCGGCCCGGCCCGCGGGGAGCCCGGTCCCACCTGCGGAGGAGCAGCCGCCCCGCTTGTCACGGCGCCGGGCCCGGGCCCGGTCAGCGCCTTCCCGCCGCGGCGTCGGCGGCCCCGCGGCCGCTGCCCGAACTTCTCGAGGATGCGGCTGACGGTGCCGGGCTCGGCCACCTCGGGCGGCTCCGCCGCCTCGTAGATGACGACCTGGTCGGCGCGGATCTCGGCGAGGGCGGCGCCGCGGCGGGCCAGCAGCTCCCGCAGCGGGTCGGGGCGCCGCGGCGGGGAGGAGCCGGCGGCCGGGTCCCGGCGGCGGCCGAGCAGCGCGTCCCTCTCGGCGAAGCAGGCGGCGACGTCGTGCTTGGACTCGATGATGAGGATGTGGTCGGCGCGGATGGTGCGGATGCCGGGCACGGCGCTGTACAGCTCCAGCAACTGCTGCAGCGGCCGCGCCGCCCCGGGGCCGTGCCCGGGCAGCCCCTGCCGCAGCCGCCGCCGCTCGCCCTCCAGCCGGATGAAGGGGTTCTCGCGGAGCGGGCCCAGGCTCTCCGCCACCACCAGCCGCTCCCCCCCCGGCGGCTCCGGCTCGCCGCCGGCCGCCCCGGCCAGCTTGGCCCGCTTCCTCTCCAGGATCTCCCGCTTCCAGGCGGGCTGCGCCCGCGGCCCGGCCCCGAGCGGCAGCTGCGCGCTGCTCATGGCGGCGGCACAGGGAGCACTGCGCGGCCGAGCCGCCTCCGCCCGCCGCACCTGAGCAGGCCCCGCCGCCGGCCGCGGCGCCGCCCCCGGGCCGCCCTCGGGGAACGGGGCGGGGCGGGCGCCATGACAGGGCCGGGGCCGGGGCCGGGGCCGCGGTAACACGGCGAGGAGAGCCCGGCGGGGCTGGGCCGGGGCGCGGGCGGCGTGACCTGGCGGGGCCGTAGGGACGCGGCCGCCCGCCCCTCACACGCAGCGGTCCCCGCGCTGCCTCCAGCCCGCCCGGAGTCACGGTGGCCCACCCCACCCAAATCCCGCTAACCTGCTCTTTCCCCACATCCTGGACTGGCTGAGGAGGAAAGGAGAGAAAAAGGCCTCTCGGGGTCACCCAGCGCGAGCTCGGTCGCTGTGTGAGGGAGAGCAGGTGCCTGGGCAGGGGCAGCCATGGCGGGCAAGGAACAGGCCATTGGCACCGGAGCAGTGCGGGGCCTGTCGGAGCAGCGTTTTAAGGAGGGCGCTGGATGGGGGTTTCCACAGCAAATGGCAGCGGAGTGGGAAAGCATTTTTTCCCACCAGCTTGGCTCCTCGGCGATGGCTGCTTGTTGGGCACAAAAGCATGGGGCGGCGGGGAGGGGGGAAAGTGCTGCCATGGTGTTATTTCCAGGCAGTGCTTGTTATCAACCGCCAGCAGGTTGCTTGGGGAAGTCTGTGCAGTCAGGAAACCATCGCGTGGCAGCTCAGGGCTTTCCACGCCTCTGATAACGCCGTGCGCTGAAATCCTCAGCCCAGGAGGTGTGGGGGACATGGCATGCCGTGACGTAAATAACCTTTGGCCAGAACTTGCTGAGGTCCCAGCCTGCCCGGGAGCTGCACCCCCGCGTGCCGGGCTGCTTTGACGTGAGCGACTTCACCCCGCTCCAGCCAAGTTCCTGAAAACACAGGTGTGTTTATGGGAAGGAGCACCATATCCTGCTGACAAGGCTCTTACCTTTGCACTCCCGAGCCAGGACAGAGCAATTGCACCTTCTTCAAATTATACCTGGAAACGATACTACTGAAAATAGTATTTTGTTGCCAAACCTGCCTGTGTGCCGGGAGCCGTGCGATGCCCAAATGTGCCGTGTGCCCTGAGGAGCTGCTCTGCTGCAAGCCAGCAAACCAGAGCTAAATGGAAGGAGGCAGCTCTTTGCAATTCAGCTTAAATAACACAAGGGTGATTTAAGGTTCACACATGACCCACTGTACTTGGCTGAAGCACAGGTCCATGATGCACCGTCCCCCTGTCGTGGCCTTTGCTGAGGCCCACAGCATCACAGCGGGTGCCCCGGGTTGAGGATAAAGACCCGACATTTCCCCGCCTCTGGTGACTCATGGCTCAGGCACGTACAAAGCCAACAATGTGCCTTTGTACTCAGGAGATCTCAATGGATTTCTCTTTCGTGGTCTTGTCTGGTTGGCTTTTGAGCCCGTGTAAAGCCCATAAATCCTGAAATAATGAATCCCACAGTTTATCTGCACCTGGTGCAAAGAAAGTGCCTCCCTTTGTGGGGATTGAACCTGACATCTGCTAGTTTCACTGCATGCCCGCCTGCCTTTATAACACAAAAATAAATCCAGCCATTCATCTCCTCCCCTGCCAGTCAAGATTTGAGAGCCTTCTATCATTTCTGTCAACTGTTTCTTTCCAAGACTGGGTCAGGGAAACAGCGTTAAGGACTGGACACTGAATCTTGGCTGGCAAGCGAGCACTTTGGAGCTAATCCCCTACATCGCTGTATTTACACCCATGGTTAACCCCGGAGTAGTACCCAATTGCTGCTACTAAGAGGCTCTCGGGAATCCTGTTCAGCGCTCGTATTTTGGCACAGAAATGAATGCTCGATTACAAAACCCTGGTGTGACGATGGCAGGGGACAGGACCTGGCGGGTGTGATGGCAGAGTGCCACCGTGTAGCACAGGCACGAGTTCCCGGTGTCCCAGCAGTGCCAGGGCACAGCTGGTGTGGCCGAGGAGCCGGCAGCGGGATGCAGGATGTTAACACGTCAGTACCAGATGTGGCACGTACCGCTCGTGAGAGAGGTAGGGCTGGCAGTGGTAGGATCTGTGGGGTCAACCCCAAGTACATCCAGGTGGCAACGGAACTGGGAAAAAGCAGGGCCCAGCAGGACTCAGAGATGTGTGATTTCACCTTAAACTGCCATGAGACATCTCAGTTCCTCACCCTTTTACAGGGCAGAGTGAAACTCTGCTGGCACATCTCTCCCTCTGGGTTTGTGTCCATCACGCCATGTGTAACAGAGCACAGAGGGAGAGGGGAAAAGGCGGTGGGTAAAAATAATCCATTGTAACTGGGCTTCTGCAGCAAAGTTGACTTTGTACCCTACAATGCTGATTTAAAAACAGGACAGTGCCAGCATGGAAGGGTTCCAGGATACTGTCTTTCCAGCCACCAGGTACTCCAGGCACCGGTGATGCTGCAGAGGCCTTAGGGAGAACTGTGGCCAGGTCTCTGGCCAGAAGCTGGCTGTGCAGTTGGTAGATTAGAAGTGATTTCTGTCATCGATCACGCTGCTGAGATGGATACGGCATGTCCCTCCCCGCTGTGGTGGTGGCACATGCAGAAGAATATCTCTAAACAGAGAGGATGCAGAAACAGAGGCCGGGAGATCCCAGCACTGAAGAAAAATGCCTTAAAAGAGTTGTCCAGCCTGTTTATCTCTGCCTCGGCTCAGGGGGGCTGCAGTTACCACATTTAGTGGAAGCTGAACACGCAGGTGACTGTCAGCCCTGGAGATAAAGGGGAAAATTGCAGCTGGGAGTTCAAGCCAGACCTGCTCACTTTGGCAATTAAGTCAAACAAACCTGCGACAAAGAAAGTGCCTTATCGGAATTCGATGCCTTCTGCCCTCCTGGGAATGTGCTTTATTTCGGAGCTGGTCTGCTTTCCCCAGAGGGATTATCAGGCCTCTACTCTCCCTTGGATTTCTCCAGGACTCTGTTTCTCGGTGTCTAGGATGGCGTTCAGAGATTGGCCTTCCTCCCAGGAAAAGGCACAATGCTTAATGCTCTCTAAGTTCCTTAGCAATCCAGTCCATGCTCGCTAAAGCCACAGATACTGCTGGAACTGTGAACCACTCTGTGCTATCCTTGTTTAAAGCATCAGGAGTTTCTGTTTTCCTCCCCTTTCAGCTGCACCTGGGCCTCTTGCACCTCTGCAGCTCTGCTCTTGAGTTTTCAGCATTCCCCTCACCTGCCAGCACAGCAAAGCATCTGCCAAATGGCATTTCCTGGGTTTACAAACTCAGCCAGAGAACAACAACAAAAAAAAGGAAACGAGAAAACCTGCTTTCCCAGAAATGTCTCTTTTTATTAAGTCACATCTTAAAACCTAGAAACATTCATGTATTTGGAACCTGATTATCATACACAAAGCAGCAGATAGTCTCAGAGAAACATGTTAATGGAGGCAGCAGAGGTGGCCGATGTCTCCTGCATCACAGCCAGGTTTGCCCCACACCTGGGCAGCAGGCAGCCAGCCAGAAACTGCTTTGAAAACGGGTAAGAGTGATTTGGAGTAACTTTCTTCTGACTTTTCCAAGGAGCCAACCTGCTGGTCCAGGGCCCACCGAGACCTCAGAACTTACAATCTTTGTTTTCAAAACTCTCTGTTAAGACAGTTGTGGCCCCAAACCAGCATGTCTCAGGTTGAGCTCTCTAACCCAGAGGCTCTCCTGGGGCCTGTTTCAAGCTCCTTACGCATCTGTTCCACCTTCAGCTTCCCGCTGAGATGGGATGAGGGGAAGAGAGACCTGAGTGCTCGGACACACCGCGGGCAGGTACGTGTGGACCCAGCCTCGCCTGAGCCGCGTGGAGCAGCACAGATGGATGCAGCCATGCTACCCTGCACTTGAGTTTGATTTTGAAAGGCGCAGGATGCTGTCAACTCCCTCTGAACTCAGCTGAGAGTAGAGGTAGAAATCAGACCACAGAGTGCTTTATGTTCCCATGGTTCATCAAATGGTTAATTACTATTCACACTTAGGTGGTTTGGGGTTTCTTTCCCCCATTATTTTGACAGCTATGCTTCTTTCTTTTTCTCATTTGGATGAAAGTAACTTGTTCAAATATCTCAGAGTTTAGGAGCATTACCAGATATAACCTAACCTTTTCCACATGACCATATCCATTTTCAAAGCCTGCACCATTACCTTTTCCACTTGTTACTCACATTTAGTTTTATTTTCAGAAAACTTGTGATGCCCCCCTCACTAGCAGCTCTGCAATAGCACTTGGAGGACTCACAGCGAAGCAAAGGAGCTGGAAATGAAAACTGGTGCCTAAACTCCGAGGGGAAATGGTAAAGATCCTAAAAGTGCATTGACTCCCAGCCCTGTGAGAGCTCAGTTTTTGCTGTTGCTCGGTATCACAACTGAAATCACTTTAGTTCCAGGAATAGTGTTTGTTAAAGAACAACAGGAAACACACAGTGGAAAAACTACAGCCCCTTCTTGCTCATTTGGGTACAATGCCAGCCTGGTTTCCTGGGATGGGGAACACCAAACTCGCTCGGTTTCTTCAGTCACCCCCATCTTAACACCTAGCAAAATAATGTCTCACTTAGCATAGGGGGCAGAGCAAGCGTAGTGGAGAAGGATCCATACTCAAAGGGCCTTGCTTGGCTCTATTTATCTGCTATATTTTTAGGATGTAAGATACCTATCCTTGAATTACAAGCTCTGCACCAGCTCTGAGTTAGCAGGACCTTGTAGTGGGGACTATATCGCTACAAATGAGATTTAGCAGTAAAAAAATAAGTTAAAAAAAGCTATCTCATAACCCCACACTTTCTATTGAGGCTTTTTGAATACCACTGACATGCATCTGTGCTGGTCCCGAGCCAGAGGCCAGGGTGACCGTGGCCTTGAGCCGTCCCTGGCTGGCTGCAGCCTCCTCGGCACCCCTGCAGTTCAGTCTCCTCAGGTAAGAAACTTTCCCCAAGGTCAATTCAACAGGTCCCCTGCACACCCATGGGAGGAAACCGCCACTCCAACACCCAG